TTAATAAGTTCCCAGTGGAATATAGGGCTTCAAGCTAGAGGCTTGAAGTTTCGTTAGCAGTGTTGACTTTTACTGGGTAGGGCTGCTAGCCTCTCTCTTCTTTACAAGTCTTATTACCGACTTGGCAAGGTAAGGGAGTGCGCCGATCGGGGATAGAACCCTGGACCACATGCTTGGCCAGCGATGATGAGAACATCATATTCTCTTAACTGTTATTATGCATGGTTATAATGTGTTTTGTAGTGCTTAATATATACACAATTCGATTATATAATCTGACAGAAAACATCTATCTGAAACTAATACAGCAGTAAAAGTAGTAAAGTGTGTAGAATCAAGAAAAAGTGCAATTGTACACTTAAGAGTGATTAGTGTGCATCACTGTCTAATCCTTTAATATTACAAGTTCGTTTCCCATTTCAGTAATCGGAATAAATAAAAACAAATCACTTGAGGCATAATATAAAGGCTAAATACACATAAAATACTATTTAAATAGACAAGAAGGTATAATGTATCGACTTTCCTTAAAGGAAAAATGAAGTCCAAGTGGCCACAGAGGTTGCAGATGAATATAATTCAACTATAAAAACGGCAATATTACCTAAACTCTGAGAATGTCATTCGATAGGATTAAGAGAAAATGAATCTCCCATGTAGCGTTAATATCACTTGAACATTTCCTGAATATTATCAGCAAAGTAAGTCATAAGATGCTTAACAGACTGACTGATTGATTGAGATTCAACATAGAATTGTACATAGATGTGCACAAGTTCAACCCACCACACTTCATACAATACACAAACGGGAAGAAAATTCAAAAGGACTATAAAAAGCGGAAATTTACAGAAAAAAAATAGAAACATGAAGAACCAGGATGATTTAATGTATTACAGCGTAAATGCATCTGAACCACTGAGAACAACTTTAAGCCATAGCATCAACAATCTTAAGTCATCTCGACGACCACAACTAGGCAGCCTACACCTCCCTGCGTAGCTCGAACCAACAGACTTCAAGATCGACACTAGGCTTTGGTTTGACCCCCTCTAACTCTTTTCCAACTTAATCCTATATCAGCTGACGTTGATCCTCAAGGAAAGTGAATGCTCGGTATGCACAAAACACATCCTAGGCATCTTAGTCCATGTAGCTTCACAGCCTCATCGATTGACTATTTTATGCTAAAGACAATATATTGTTAAGTAAGAAGTCACCGAATAATTTACTCACTTTAAACTCGATCTAACTACTGGATAAAACGTCACGAACAATTATATAACCGAATGAGGTAATTCTAAGAATATTTTGATTCCTTTTTATTTTTGATTACTGCTTGATTCCACACTGTATTTTTGGTACAAGTATGAAATTTTCAGCCTACGATATCGGTAGCCCAATTTTTGCAGGCCGACCATGGATATCAAGTGTGCGTCAGCAGGGGATCGAACCTCGGATCATGTGCATGGTCGACGAGAGTCCTAACCACTATGCCACCGACGCAGTGGCAATCCATAACATAACAAGTGATTACCCTTTAATTTAGTCTACAGAAATTCATTCTTAGCTTAAAAATCGTTGACTCCACTGGAAAATTTAGTTAATAAGACATTTATTGATGCAGTGTCAAATGAAGAAAATAAACATGTACTGTAAAGTAATCGAAAATTATTTTAAAAACACCTCTGAAATGCTGATTCATTCTGATTACTTCTAAAAGTGAAGTTATGGTGAGATTTCAAAGCGTTAAAAGATTTTACATGATTCCTTAAACTAAGATAATTAAAAACAAAACGGGTGTGAATATACAGATGTAGATGGCTTCATTAAATTGTGTAAAACTTGGGCATTGCAGTAGTATGGAACTCCATATTTATTTGTTTATTGGATATCTCAATTTATATGATTATGAGCAATATATTGTGTGTGAAAAGGTCATTCAAGTAAATAATACTGTTTCACTGTGCAATATATCCAACTTATTTATTTATTTAAACGCAAGAAAACTTGGTACAATATGGTACCAAGAAGATGCCCCACATAATAATAAAACAACATAGATTAAAGGTAAAAATATGGGTGGAGCCATAGTTAACAAATTCAAACAGTATTCGACAACTATCATCGGGAAGGGAAGAAACAAGGAAATTGCAACACGTCCGCCATTGGTTACGATTCTTGGTCATATCCCATAACGTTTCGAGCTATCTCGCGGACCCCAACCAAGGAGTCGTGACGCACCAATCGATGCTAATCTAACACAAATATCCTTCATCCCACGACGCCACATCATGGACTGACTACCTTTTCCATTTGGTCCCAGGGCTAGAGGACAGAGACCTGTACGGAAGCCTCTGGGATGACATTAACATCATATGTCCAAGTCACCGAAGCCGGTGTTTCCAGATAACGGCACTCAATGAATGATGAACTCCACTGTGTTCAAACACACGCCTCCGAAACTCAGAATTACTCATGCGATGATGCCATCGACCGCAAGCAATCCTGCGGAGACAGCGATGATCGAACACGCAGAGCCGCTACAAATCCCCAGCTCGAAGAGGCCAGGTTTCACAGGCCTGCACCGAAGCATTGCATACCCGACCTTTGACAGCCAGACTAACGTCGTGACGGCGCCAGAGGTAGCTCAAGTTGATGTATGCCACACTAGTCTTTATGACTCATCTCATCCATCATCCCTCTGCCAGCACTCACACAACTACCCAATAAACTAATTAATATGAAATGATTCAATAAACTGCTTTAAATTCAGTCTTTCAACTAGTACATATCTTCTTCCATCACCAGCGAAAGAAATTAACAACATAGCTCATTAACAGGACCTATAGTTAGTAATATCGTGGACAATTTGACAGGTTGCATCAAACAGTTAGTATACCTTATCCTCAGATACATAACGCAATTGGGAACCAGTCTGCCTGTCACAGTCATGCTTAAGTTACAATGTTATACAAGACACTAACGATAACCACTTTGGTCTTATCCTTTAAACTTCACATTTCTGTATGTCAGTCTTTATAAATAAGTTGTGCACTTGTATATCTAGTTTGCAGCGTAGGAAACAACGGGCGTACACCCACCTCTGTTTGTATTCATACGAAAATAAAACTGTTTTTATTTCCTGACTAAATTGGGGAGAGTTTTATGGATGTTGATAATAAATAAAAACTTAACAGCAAATGGGAAATTCGGAAAATGAAAAATGAAAAACTTATGAATATTAGCGAACACTAAGCAGTAGTGATATGTCGTACTCAAATAGTGTCCACAGTAGCCATGAAAAAAGCTTTCAATTTAACAACTACCACGTGTTCACTGTTGTTTCATATTAGAAAGAATCAATACTTAAAATAAGGGCGGGACATATTATTTTTCTGTATGCATATTAAGTCATATTCAAGATTGTTGATCAACAAATAGACAAACTGCAGCCATAACGTTAATTAGCGAAACTTTAAGGTTCGATTCTACATTGAAGTACACATCCTCTTTTAGAAAAAATGTTAGACAATAACATTATTCAGAAAGCATTCCATCTACACTTATTCACTAAATTTAACAAATAATACTGCATGAAAAAAAATTAAATGTTCAGTTGACCAAAATGTAAAAGAAGTGTCTGCCGACAAGAAGTCGCATCCAAATTCACACAGAATTCCACCTTTCTGTACTTCCTACACTTCACTCAAACCAGATCCGACGCCAACCTGGGTCATCTGTGAGAAAATCATGATGAGTCTGACCGTCAAAGATCGGGCTTACAATGTTTTTGTGCATGCAGCCTTGCCCTACGTCTGTGAAACCTGATGTCTCTGTGCTGATGATGTGAGGTAGCTTTGAATGTTTAACGATCACTGTCTTCGTAGGACTGCATGCATGTGGCGACTTGAACTGCCGCACATATGTGCAAAGTTCTATGTCAAAAACAGACAGACAGAGGCAGACTGCATGCATCCGACGACATCACAGTGTAAATAATCTTAAGGTTCAAAGAAACGTATTTAAATAAGATGGATATAGCCTTACAATAAGTGATGTCATCTTTGAACATCAACTTTGATGGTTTGGACACGTGTTGTGAATATCACCCCAGTGGCTTCCATACCATCCGCTGTTTGCCAGCTATGAAACCGGTCAGAAGAAGCGGGGAATGGGTCGGCGAATGACACGGAGCAGTGAGCTGAAGGATAGCTGTGTGGGTTTAGCATCCGTTGATGCATCACCACTCTCTGGACAGGATCAGAGATATCATGTGACTAAGTGGCTAGAGACGTCATCAGATATAGTTCTAATAGAAATTAGTGGTAAACGTGCTGTAATTAGCTTGTTTCTTCCATTTCTGAAAGTAATATAAAGTAACAAATACTTCTCAAAGTTCTTGATAAGCATGCCTACTTGTATTCACTATGTTGTCTATCAGTTACCTTATCTATCTCTTCATTATACTGTTTATTGTATTGTGTGGCACATTTCTTAGTATCCACGCTGTACCAAGTGTGTATCTTAAATAAATAAAATATACTGGTGACTTAAGAAGTGAAGCATATCGAAACCCTATCCTAGTTCAAGCCCACAATACATATCCCAACAAACTTATTCATCCTTCTCGACTGAAAGTGTACGCTCAAACCCAATAATGAGCACACATTAGTCCACTACAGGTAAAATTGTACTAGTAGGCACTTAGAAACAAATGCCAGGTCCTAGACTATTGAATGACAGCTATATGCATCGGTGGAACAGTGGTTAGGACTCTCGCCGACCATGCACATGATCCGAGGTTCGATCCCCTGCTGACGCACACTTGATATCCATGGTCGGCCTGCAAAACTTGGGCTACCGATATCGTAGGCTGAAAATTTCATACTTGTACCAAAAATACAGTGTGGAATCAAGCTGTAATCAAAAATAAAAATAAGTAAAATAAATATGAATATATAGTCAATTGCAATGAAAAGATCCAAGGGAAAGCTTACCCATCATACGAATCCAAAACATTCTCCAAAAGGTAGTCTGTCAAATGGCCACGGCGTGTTGTAACTGTATAAAATGGTAAGGTGGAATTGAAAGATTAGGTTCGTATATACACATACAGGTTCAATATAGTAAAATATGAGGTATTTCATTGTTCTACGCATCTGTCTCCTTTTTCTCATCCTTCCAGATAAATATAGTACTCCATTCCTTTTGATTATTCTGTGCAGAAAGTTGAACACATGCGTCACCATGTTAGTTCTTAAGTTCTACTACTGCGTACCACAATGTGACAGAAGCTTAGATCAGTAGATTGTCATTTCACCCTAAATGATATTTTCAGATTAATCAGTAGCACCACTGTTTTCCTGAAAAGACATGATCGTTAAAGCATTGGTACTAACTTTGCTCAACTACATTTATGTGGCTACATGATGTCTTTAAATCGCATTAGTTTCTGTTCATAATCTACATAATGATTCCATATGTAACTGGGGGAATGAATAATTATCTACAAATCAGAAAAAGTACTTAAAACTGTTATTTAAAGATTTTAATGCTTGTGCTCCTAACTATATCTGAAAACAGTAATCTTTGAGTAAAACCCTAACACGTTTAGTCATGATTATGTGCTACGTTTCCAAAATACACATAAAACTCAAGTATGACTATGTATTTGAAATAAAAGTACATAAAAAGGTGCACATTTTATATTTCAATGATTCAAATACTAGTCTCTGTAGAGACTGAACATTTAGAGATATTTGGAGACAAAATTATACTATTTAACCCGAGGATAAGTAATGTAAGCCGTTCGTATAGATTGTATTATGTGAACCAACGACTACAACGTACTAGTTTGTTTGTCTATCCGTCACTTTGTAAAAACACAATGTCTGCTTGGTATCTTATAACAGCCAGGTGACGGAGTATTGAGCTGCTAAATGAGATTGACATCTAAGGTGTACACTCTAAGGCGTCAAAAACTGTAAACTCTAGTGGCAGCAACAAGTAAAAAGAAGGACAAAGGATTAACTACAGAGTAATCGTTAAGAACTAGGACCGGTTGTTAAACAGTCCATAAGAAAGGAAACCTATTTTTGAAGCATTTACCAAGGAAATAATGACGGGATATTAGAATAGTCGATATATTTAATGCAAAAATCTGTATAGAAATAAATGCTGCATATTGCATCAACTCACCAATAACTTTTGTTTCAATTTTGGCTATATGAAATAATGGTGCCACTTGGTTCGCATAAATTTCTTGTGACTTCTTTGCACCACCAAATGGATTGATAAAAACTAACAAGTTTCGTGGTCGAGAAGAGTCTGGATTGATAAATAAATTTACAAATATCAAAATATGAACCAATAAGCACAAATAAATATCAAGTGTGTACAAGTAAAATTCACTAAACCAAGTAACAACAGAAATAATCATCAAGCACTATGTGTTGTATTACAGTTACTCATATATGCGCATGTCTATAATGCTTTGAAATTGTATTGTTTTCTCCTACAATAAACCTTGGGAAAACAAAATTAAATGACAGAAGTAGAATTCCACTAAGTACATGAAACCTAGACAGCACAGTACCCTTTGCATAATGACCAATACTAATATCTATGGTGGCCAACAGCATGTTATCAAATTTATATTAGCCAGTCATTTCAGGATTAATAGAACACTATAAAATCTTGAAAAAGGACTATTAAAATGGCTCCCCTTTACAACACAAAAATGAGAGATATCAAACTACACACATAATGGAATAAAATGATAAATGAATACCCTTTTGTGTGAGATAGGAAGTGACTAAACATGCGCTATAGTAGCTGACGGAATCACACTAACTGAACAACGTACAACTGACTCCTCCACAAGTAGTGCCAATAATCGTAAAATGTGGTAATTTATTATCGTAAATGCCGCAGAATAATCTACTTCCAGTATCATATTTTCGAACGAGGGATCGTACGGTACCACTGCGAATGAATCAAGTGTATTTACAAAGCTCTACGACGAAGAAATCGTCTGTTCAATTTAAGAGTTCATGTAGAAAAACAGCAGCTTACAAGTACTGAATAAATTAATATTGACAACACAGTTAATCAAGTGCCTGCAAGCCTCTGCAGACAGTTCGAATTATATTCAACAAAGTCCCCCACTAAATTGTTTACCGGTATGCAGCGGGTTTGTATAGTAGGGTCAACAGAGCATGCATTTCCTGTCACACCCCCATAACTCTCCTAGTTAAATAATTCACTTGAAAATTAATGCGGATTTGCTAGTATTCGCATCGAAATTAAGCAAACAACCCTCAAGGTTAAATTATTGGAGAAAGCCTTAATGCTTAATTTTCAAGTCAACCATAATTCTCTAAAAGAAACGAAATGAAGTGCCAAGAGGGGAATACAGGCATTATTTGACACCGTGAAGAAACTTTAGTCACAGTCAAATCAAATGCAAGAGGAATGGTTAGTAGAGGAATATGCAAATGGACTGATATACATGTATATACATATGTATATATACATATATATACGAGATTATAAGGCATTCACTTACTTATTTTTTGTAGACTGCGGTCTAAAGCGTCAGTCCACTTAGGCACCTGTTCCTCATGTTCACAGTAAAATGCAGTGTGACTGACTTTCCAATTGGATTTCTCTGCCTTCCTGATGCTCCAAATGACGAATCCACGAGTATGTTCGAAGTATTCATCTTTTTTTCTCAATGACTTGCACACTTTGTTTGAGTCCTTTAAGTCACCAATATGCTTCAGGGAAGAAACACCAACGAAATGTTTAAAACTAACTGAAACCAAAATAAATTCACATGAAACGTACTGTGCTTTATTGGCTTCACATCGCGATTTGAGGCTCTGCCAATAGTTCTCCACAATATTTCATTTTCTGTCAGTCCGACTATGCATGGATAAAGCCTTTTATCCCTGAGGCGATGCAGCGATCCAACGGTTATACACATTCTAATAAGGTCTTCTCAGTAGTGAAGAGCCACAATTGAAAAAAACTCTAGGAAATAATGTGGTGTCGGGCATCGACATTTGTACGTTCCTCAAGCTTCATATAAATTAATGTCTTTCTTTTTCAGAAATTTAATACTGTGAATGAAACTATGCGAACAGTTGTCTTCACTGTAACCGATTACTGAACAGAACCAATGACATAGACTCCTAACTATCAATTACTAATTAATAAAGCCCGCCAAGTGATCATTCTAAACATCCAAACTAGAATCTAGAGAAGAGACTCCCTTGGCACACAAAATCCACCGTACACGATCAACTAGCTCATAAGGGCGATAACAAGGTCAATGTAACGCATATCTTGAAAAAAAGCATGACCTTCAGTGTCCAATGCCGGCTTGACAAAATTGTGTAAATATTCTAATACCCCATGTTGTTTGTTACTGTTCCGGAATTTTAGTAGATATCATTGCAGAGACTGTGCCCACTAGAAAAAAGTGTGTTGGCTGAATTTAATAACGTTCGAGGAATACCGGAGGAAGATACCAGCAACTTAGCAGAAAACAATAGCTTCCTTACAATTCATAGGTTTCCTCTCCTCTATCGAACTCTGTTGAATGGTAAATGCCCATGTGTATGCCCAAGTAGGTGTTCTCTGCTCAAAGTACACACTAATATACTCGCCCGGTACGTTCAAATCAGGTGACGCTTTTGCACGTGTTTTCGCTTATATTCATTTATTGGTTACTAATAATTGATCTTTAATAACGATGGTTCAAAATTCTAAAAAGCGTGTTCGTGTGAACACCAGTAATTTAGAAAATAGCACCGGCTCGTCTAATAACACATTACCACCCCATATTATTAGTAGTTCACCCAACATAAAAGCCTCGAACATAACTCTGACCCCTGTAATACAGGTGGAAGATGTTCTGTCTGAAAAAGTAGAGCTCTCTTACTTAACGTGCGTAATTAAAGAGATGCAGCTACAGATAGATGAATTAAAAACGAAATTAAGTTCCCTAGAATGTATACCTGAAACTATCTCACGTATGAAAAAAGAAATGCAGGATCCTACAATCCTAAAGCTTTTTAATATGACCTCTAGAATGACTCATACTGACTCAGAAAATGCGAAGGAGTTAGAAAACGCCATCGACTTTCTATCCAGCGAAGTTGTTAAAAGGCTGGCTTCAAAACAAAACGCAATAGTATATAATGTACCGGATAGTGAGCCCATAAAGTCAGTCCAGCACTCATTGCTGAAGGCTGCAAATCTATTGAATGCACCTTGTCAGTGCATTCGCCTAAGCAAAAAAGACCTGAAGTATCCTTGTCCTATACTCTTTAGGTTCGACAGCTACATAACAGCTGAACGATTTAAGATGGCCGAAGATCTTCTGGCTACTGCCACTAAATTCAAGACTATCAAAGTAGTCTCGGATAAAACACCAAACCAAAGGCAAGCAACCAAGAACTCCTTCGACACAAAGTTGACAACACTGAGAAATACATCTGGTATCAGTGCTAAAGAGTCGACGGACACTGAGGCACAGCAAGTCACGTGTATAGTGTTAGGAGAAAAAACGGCAAGTAAGAGCGACCCAAAACTCAGTAAGAGCAGTGCCACTGGGTGCAGTCTTAGAGTGCACGAGAGCACATCTCGAAAACCTGCTGACCTACATGAGGTTGACATAGACGCACAAACTATGGCTGACCAGAAACTACTGGCAGACCACACTCAATCTGGATCCAAGCCAGAGAGTCCCTCAGTAGAAACCGCAAAAAAGACCACAAAACCCAGAGTCCCACCCCAGACTTCGACATACCTCCCTCGTAATAAGTCAAATAAGCAGCGTGTCAGTCTAAAAAATGACAAAGCATGGGTAACGAAGCACATTCCCAAAGACGTCACGCAGCATATGAGAAGGAATACCCCTTCCCGGACTAGAAGTAACATGCCTAACAACGCACATAACTTGGGAATGCAACGTAGAATGGATCCTCGGGATACATGGGGCACTAAACGGGACTCATATAGGCACCATATTAACGAAAATTCTCGTCCAGACTCCCGCACTATATATGTTAAACCTCATCAACATAATGAGAACAGGTCGACACTTGATCCCCTCAATAACTTCACTCACGCACGTGACGTGAGCCAATATGCATACGGCTATGAAAGCCCCATGAGGTACAACTACCAGGGTAGTCTTAACACAGGGTACCCAGGTCCAGCAAACTACAACCCAAATTGCAGGGCAGACCATATATCACCAGTAGATCAACGCAGATGCCGACCCATGGATGCTAATAGTCAAAATATGCAACAGGATTATTTTCGGCTGCAGCAAGCAATAGCCCCCCTCGCAGCACAATTTGTCCAGGGAATAGTAAACACGCTGACAATGTCTCATATGAGGATTCCTCCGAACATAACATAGGCAACCAGGAGTTAGGGATAGTAACAAGAAAACCTACTAACTATCCCAACAACCCTGGTTTTCTGAAAATTATGCTTTTAAATGCTCGATCTCTCCTTAACAAAATAACTTCCCTTCGCAGCTTGGTATACATGGAGCGGCCAACACTGATTCTGGTAACTGAAACTTGGCTTACTATTGATATACCTGACACAAAGCTGATAATTGATAACTATAACATCCACAGGAATGACAGAGCAGACAAGAGAGGAGGCGGCTGTCTAATATATGCCTCTAAATCCACTAACTCCAATACCTTTACAAACCTAACTATCGACAAACTCCCAGAATCCAAGTGGATAAGCATCCACACGAATGAAAATAACATTCTTGTGGGATGTATATACAGAGCCCCTAACAGCCCTATAACGACTGATACGGTTATCGGAGAAATACTAGAGGTTGTACCTAAGCTGGAATTCGACTACAAACTAGTTTGTGGCGATTTCAACCTCCCTGGAGTGAACTGGGATACCTGCACTGGACCGAGAACCTACGAGGTGATCCTAGAAGCCATAGATGTAGGAGGATGGAAGCAGTGCGTACGCCTCCCAACACGACACAACAATATACTCGACTTAATCCTCTGTCACAAAATAGAGCCGATCTCGATAGAGGTGAGGGATAAACTCGACAACAGTGACCACAACATACTGTACTGCACCCTACCCTTACAACTAACAACTAAACACACACCTAAGAGTTCCCCGGTTTACTATCAATATAGGGACTATCGAAATGCCGACTGGGAATTCCTACCAACGCTCTTGAGAAGCTCAGACTGGGGTGAATACTTCACCAATAATAACTTAGAAGTAATACTAAATACCTTCTACAAGACAATCAGTTCGGTAAGAGACACAATCGCACCCCTGAAATCTGCCCTAAAGACACCAACTCTGTTCATAGATCGCAAAACGCGAATAAAACTAAGGAAACTAAAAAGGAGATTTTATTTATACAAAGAATTTAATGCATTACACCTGATACACGAAATATTTAAAAATTTAGATGAGAGACATAAAATGAAAGCACAAGTCGAGGAAAATAAAGCCCTAGAGGGCACCTCTAAAACCCAGGAACTCTGCAAAATCTTGCAAAAACGGATGAAGAAGGGTGAAGAAAACAATATCAGTCATTTAGAACACGAAGATATAATTTATGATGATCCCCAGATCATTAGTGAACTCCTGAGTGAGTGGTTCTCCAATAACACCAAAGCACATCCGTCCCCAATTCTCGACATAACCTGCAAAAATAACTACAAGTTAGGTGAAATAAACTTTAATATACAAAATATAGCATCGGCGGTAAGGACATTAAAAGCTAACAGTAGTTGTGGGATAGACGATATACCATCCGTCATATACAAAAACGGTGGTACGGATATGATTGTATTATTACTTAGAATATTTAATATCTCACTAGTGACCGAAACCTACCCTGAAACTTGGAAAAACACATATATATTACCTAAGCATAAAGGAGGGGCCAAAACTAGTGCATGTAATTATAGGCCTATCAATATAACACCAGTCATATCAAGGATCATGGAGAAAGTAATCAAAGACCAAATGTCAGACTACTTTCTAAAACATAAACTCATCAACCTGTCACAACACGGATTCCTCAAGAAAAGATCTTGCGTCACTTGCCATATAGACTTTTTCAACGAAGTCACCTATAGAAGAGATAGGAGAGAGCTAGTGATTATCCTCTATTTCGATATAAGGAAAGCCTTCGACAGAGTCCCACATAGTCTGTTAGTCGGTAGGCTATGCTCACTAGGGATACGCAACCCCCTCTACAATTGGATAAAATCATTTCTGTATGACAGGAATCAGACAACTAAAGTTGGCTCAATGACCTCCAGACCTAGACCAATCAGCAGTGGTGTCATCCAGGGGAGTGTATTGGGACCCCTTCTTTTCATTATATACATAAACAGTATATGTGAATGTTTTAGTATAGGCAAGCCAATACTGTATGCAGATGACTTGAAGGTGACATATACCTGCACAAATACAGATATCGGCCCAACTATGAACTCCATACATGAAGAATTAGCAAAAATGGATAGATGGTGTGACACGTGGAGACTTGAGTTTAATGTTGAAAAGTGTGGATGGCTCTGCATAGGCTGTTCCAACCTTGACCTCAACCTAGCAATTCAGGGCCACAAAATCCCCAGACTCAAATCTGTACTAGACCTAGGACTGAAATATTCACACAATCTATCATTTTCAGAGCATATCTCGAATCAAGTGTCGAAATCACGAAGGCTTATTGGTTTCCTACTCAGGAACTTCTACAGAAACGAGTCCAGAATACTACTGTACAAGGTATGTGTGCGCCCACTCCTAGATTACTGCTCATTCATATTCAGCAGTACACGCATAGAAGACAAACTGAAAGTAGAAGGAGTACAGAGGTACTTCACGCGAAAAGTACTCGGAACCGATAACGGCACAAACTACTCTACCAGATGTGAAATCCTGGGACTAGAAACATTATGGTTAAGGCGACTGCGACTAAATCTGTTACTCTTCTATAAGCTTCTTAACCAAATAGTGTATACCCCTGCTAACTATACTCGGTCCTCAGGTAACACAGGATACAACCTTAGGCACACTAAAGGTACAGTGGCTATAGAACCATGTAAAACAGCCACCAGGCAAAAGTTTTTCTTGATTAGGTATGCCCAAATATGGAACAAACTACCTGAGAAAATACGACTAGCAAGCACATTGGCCTCCTTTGAAAAGGCACTTAATGACACACTAAGTGAGTTTGTAATTGATACCAATGGTAATTCCCATGTAAGAGTTTCAGAAATCATAGGCCCATTTAATGTATGAACTCAGAGACTACACCTGTTGTTTGTTTTGT